ACAACTTTTGTATTAAATAATTTTCTTGCTCTCCTACCTGAAACAGAAGTCCCAACACCTTTTACCTTTATTTTGAAATGGTATTTAAGCCTAAATTCTCAGTTACCCTTACAGAAATACATTTCTGGGTATTCCATGTGTTTCATGCGTGATGTACTTGTTAATACAACATCTGTGTCTTCTTTTATTAATCTGCTTTTTGTTATAGGGCCTAGTGGGAAACTTAGGAGTAAAATATCGTTTTTTCTTCTATATTTCTTCTTATCCAACGATACTATGAATAAAAAGACACTCTATACTCATACCTTCTCTTGAGGCCTCTGGAAACGACATAGTTGAGACCCTTATTGTCTTTTGACAATGCGCAAAATAGTAGGGCCAGCTGGGCTGGAGAGAATAGTAGGGGGAAGGGAAAAGGAGCTAGCATATTTGAATATTGAAAGTCCTTCTTGGTTTTCTTTCTTTCTTTGATCTTTTGCTAGTTCTAGGGCTTTATAGCAAGGTCTGGGCAATGTCCCTAAGCTTCATTTGCCCAAGGCTAGCACTCTCCCCCTTGAGCCACAGCGCCATTTCCAGCTTTTTCTGTTTATGTGGTACTGAGGAATTGAACTCATGCATGCTGTTCAAGCACTTTACCAATAAGCTACATTCCCAGCCCAAACTTCTTTCTTGAAATTCCATTTCTAATAATTCTCTTCAAATGAGATCTGGGAGAACCTACAAATGGAATTTTATTTTAGTATTATGGATTGCAGTAAAGATTACAAAAGAACCTTAGTGAACATCTGTCAGGATGGGGTAAGAAAACTGGAGTGGCTCACTTAAATGACAATGAAGTGATCTTCCCACGTGAGTTAGTGGCAATCCTAGAGCAGGTGGAAGTGTTTTAGTGGTGTTAATCTTATGTTAGATGAAAAGGAAGGGGACACTACAATGCACCTATTCCGGCTGCAGCACCACTCTGTGAAGATGTAGTGAGAGATGAGGACTCTTTTGATCTAACTTGTTTCAACCATGCCTCATCTTTGGAACATAAAAATTATGACCACGCTAGGTACTAGGGGCTCATGCCTGTAATACTAGCTACCCAGGAGACTAAGGACTGAGGCTCAAAGCTATCCCCAGCAGAAATGCCCAGGAGATTCTGATTTCCAGTTAAAGAGCCAAAGCTTTGGGAATCTGCAGGGCCTTGAGTTCAAGTCCCAATATAGAAGTGTACACACACACACACTCACACACACATACTCACACTCCTACAATCTCTCAACATGAAAGCTTTCATCCCTTACTCCTGTTTCTCAGTAAGTGACTGGAGCAAACACAAACTTAGATACCAATAGCTCTGGACTGGCTGATTTCCAAGAAAGACCTCTAGCCCCTTCTAAGTACCTGCTTGAAACTTCAAGCTGCCAAAAATGCTCTTAAAATTTCTTCTAACCAGAAAAACAATCACCTTATCAATACGTTAGAAACAATAGCAAGAAAGAAAAAACCACTTGTGTCCTTATCTTGGGGTTAATTTCCCCTAACATCACCTTATCTGACCTTTTCTGCTTGTCTCAGACATATACTAGTTATTGCAAATAAGGGAAACCATGGGACCTGTGTTTCTTTGGGCCTCGATTACTTCACTTAATATAATTTTTTCTAAGTCTTTCCATTTCCTATCAAATGGAACATTTTATAAGGTGATCGTTTTGGTTTTTTTTGCTTTGTATGTCCCTCCGCCACAGTATAACTCCTGTTTTCACTGTATTTGATATTGGTATAATTTGGAGAGGAGAAGGGAAAAAACCAAATTATTTAAATAGAGATACAGGTGGACCCATGGTAACAATGAGATGTACAAGACGCTATGTTGAAAAACGAACTTTACAATTTAGGTTAGGGGGAGTGTGGTTGTGGAGATGGGAGGGCAGGGATGGTAGGGGAAAAACAAAGGAGGAGGCAACAATGCTTGATAAGAAATGTACACATTACCTTGCTCATGTCATTGTACCCCTCTGTATGGTATTTTCACAATACAAAAACTTATTAAAAAATTTCTTCTAACCAATACCTCATGGTAGGTCCTTGACTTGACTCTCTAAAACATTTTCTAAAAAAAAAAAGGAGAGGATGAATATACATCTCCTATACCTCACAAGGTCTTGCCATTCCTTTGAAATGCAACCATCAGAAAAGATAGTCCCTGTGCCCCAGTCTCAGTGAGAGAACTGAATTCTTACCTTAACGCTGGCTAGTAACTGCCAGACTGTAGATATAGGAGCCTAAAGGCATTGACAATGATCAGACCTGTGTAGATTTTCACAAGCTCTTGCTTGTTTGAGTTTCTGTGAAAGGCCCAGTCAACTCTACCTCGTAACAATAAGCACAGTTCATATTGAATGCCCTTCCCTATTGCAAAGGTATATTACTGGTTACCAGGCTCTCTCTATTGCTTCAACAGAGGTCCAGCTTTGCTTATCTGAGATAGGACCAGTTGCTAAGGAACAGATATCCTCATCACCAAGATTTTGAAGGTCCTGGGATTACATTCATTAGAAATCATTAGCGAGAGCATTCTTGTTCTGAAAAGAGCAATCCCCGCACCTTACCATGAATAAAAGTTGAAGGAAACTTCGCTGGTGAACAATTCTGATTTATGAATTCACATTAAACTATCTAAGTACATCTGTTATGCACATGATAATGGCAACTTTCTGGGTATAATGATTTCTTAGAATCACAAATGATGTGTAAATTCCCCGCTATTTAAGCATTGGGAGGGGTAAGGGTGTCCAGGGTGATTGGCTATTATTCTCAAATGCTAGGTTTACACCATGGCCTTTGTCCCTTTCTTTCCTGCTTCAGAATCTAGAAATACAATCTTGTGTGGCAGCATAGAATTGCTACTGTCAGGGGAATATTTCAGTGTATATCAGAGAACCTTCTCCTGTCTTTATTGTTTTGTAATATATCTCAGAATTAAGAGATCGACCTTTTAATAAAGAATGTAGGAGGAATAGAGTTTGCTTTAAGTTTCAGTTCTGGGGACTGTGTAACGGTTAATGTTAGGAAAATTGCTTCTGGGACAATATTTCTCATCTGTCCTCTCAAACACACATCTTGGAATGACCTAAACAAAGCACAATTCTTAATGTCTCATATTTTTTTTTAAATATCATTTCTCAGTGTGCTAGTTTCTTGCCCTTATCCCTTTAACAACGCAGTTAATATTTAGTGCCCTTTGAAATCCATTTGGAGCCAGGTGCAATGGCTCAAGCCTGTAACTGTTATTAACTGGGAGGCAGAGACTGGAGGATTTCCACTGGAGGCCATTCCAGGGACTAAAGTTCATGTGACTACATCTCAATTGGTTGTTGCGCGTGCCTGTCATCACAAGCTACAGGGGAAGCACAGTGAGGTGTAGCGGTTATCCCAGTGACCAAGGAAAGGACATGGAGGATTGCAGTCTAGGCAAGTGTGGGCATAAAGTCAGACCCTATCTCAACTATAAGGAATACATAAAGGGATAGGTAGAGGGGTCCAATAGTATAGTACCTGCTTAGCAAGTATAAGGCACTGAGTTCAAAACCCAGTGCCACCAAAACCTAAACAGAAAGAAAAGAGAGACCCATAGCTGGAGACTGGCCATGATCTAAGGCAGCCCCCAGGTGTCCCACAACCCCCTCCCCACATTGCTTCCCCTCCTCCAGCCTCTGCTACATTGCTCAGCATTTCAGTGCAAATTCTGCTTGGAATTCTGCTGGGGGCTGTAATTTCTTAATACTAAGAAATACTATAGATCCCATATAGCAGGAAGAATTTGTTTCAAAATAAAAGATTCAAACAGTTTTTGTTATGGTTGTTCTTTTGCTGGGCTCCAGTGGCTCATGCCTGTAATCCCAGCTACTCAGGAAGCTGAGATCTGAGGGTTGCTATTCTAAGCCATCTCAGGCAGGAAAATCCATGAGACTCTTATCTCCAGTTAACCACCAAAAGAAAGCAGAAGGCAAGGTGTGACTCAAGTGGCAGAACGTTAGCCTTCAGCAAAAAAGCTCAGAGACAGTACCAAAGCCCTGAATCTAAGCCCAACAAATGGCACCAAATAAAATATAAAATATAATAATTTTTAAAGAGATACTTGTTTATTCCATGATCAATATAGGCAAAATACATAATCATGGCATGAAAGTTAAAGCAGTCAGTGACTCCAGAGTTTGGCCGACACAGAGACTCCAGTGACAGGGCATAGTGTATTCTCATGGCATGCATAACCTCACCAAAGGTTTTGTTTTTTGTTTTTTGCTGGTCCTGAGGCTTGAACTCAGGACCTGAGCACTGTCACTGAGTTTCTTTGGCTCAAGGCTAACACTCAACCACTTAAGCCAAAGTACTACTTCTGGCTTTTTATGTTTATATGGCACTGAAGAATCGAACTCAGGGCCTCATGCATGTTAGGCAAGCATCTACCTCTAAGCCACGTTCCCAGCTCATCACCAATGGTTTTGATTATAAGGGTTTAATGACAAGACAGGAAGGAACAGCTAGCTTGTCAGATAGGGTGCTGGCTAGGGAAGCTTCTTGCTTCCATTGCAGACCCTAGGCCGGTCTTGTCCCCAGGCCCTTCTTTCAAAAAAATTGATGGGTCCAAAAACCCTAAAGCTTATATTGTTATCAGAAGTTAATTCATATGACAGATTATAATCAGAAACAGAGACCTAACTTTTCTCATTTTCATCCAACACCCACACACACCCACACATACATGTGTACACACATATGTATATATCTAACCATGTGTACAAATATTGCATAGACACATGCACACAATAAACTGCAACATGATTTAAGCCCATATATATATATATATATATATATATATATATATACAATATATAATATATAGCATAATATAATACATATACAGGTCTAATCCCAGGCTTTCTCCCCACCCCCACCACCCTTTAATCCTGCTCTAAGCTCGGCTACCGGAGATGTGGAGGCATGCGACTCACATTTTGCAGCTGGACGTGGCTCTTCACCAAGCTCTCTGACTTTGACATGGTGCTGGATACTTTGAGACTGTAGTTTTTACCATTCTGTGACTCTTTCAGCTGCTCTTGGATTTGTTTAGCTTGCTTCCTGCAGAAATGAATGTGTGCATAAGTATCGGTGTACATTTTACTGTATTTTTAATTCTTGAGGTTCATTCATCCCCAGAGTCTATCTCTGCCATTCGCTAAAGCTAGATATACTCAGTTAAGCAAAGAAAGTCCTTCTGTCATTTCCAACCACATCAAGAAACACTTTGAACTTGAAGAGTCCTGATAATTGTTTAAGATGATCCATAGGTTCATAGTCAATGGTGCTACAAAGGCAGCCAAGAATCAATCATCTTCTTGACCTCCACGAATGCAAGAGGCTCTGGGTTCTAAGTACTCAGCTACAAAGAGTTAGACATGCTGTGGAAAAATGGAGAAGTGACTAAAAGAAATGACTAAAAGAAGCTTCGGTCTGGGAGGCATATATAACATATTTGTAAAGGTGCATTTATGTCTTTTACAATTGAAATATGCATAGCACATACAGAAGCTCTGAATTTTCTTTTTAGATGGAATCTTGCTGTTTGCTGGAGCTGGATGGTAGCACCTTCTTTATGCGTCCTGTGTAGCTAGGATAGCAAGCATATATGCCATTGCAGTAGTATTTTCTGCTGAGATAAAATCTTGCAAGCTTTTTTGCCCACACAGGCCTGGAACCACAATCCTTTTGATCTCAGCCTTCCATATACATGGCATGACAGGCACATAATACCCAGCTCCTGGTTGCAATAGAATCTCTTGAACTTTGTTCCTGGGCTGGCCAGAACTGTCCTGTTTATTCTTCCCACATAGCTGGAATGGCAGGTATGAATTACACTCAGCTTTTTCCATGCAGATAGAGTGAGTCTTGTGAAATGTTCAACATTGGCATTGAACCATGATCCCCTTAATTTCTATCTCTTGAGTAATTAGGATTATAGGCATGAGTCATCAGGCTCTTGGCCAAACATAGTTACCTTTTTTTATTCTACCTTATTTTTTTAATTTTAGAATTTAAATAGATGTATAAAGTAGTTACCCCTTTAAAGAGATAATGATCACATAATATAATACCATATGCCATTTGATGTGTACTAACTCATTAATTCTTTCCAATAGTTCTATGTCAGGAGATCATCCATCACACCCACTCAATAGATGAGTAAATTAAGAAACAAAAAGTTAAATCACTTTAGAGTCACATACTCACTCCACACCAGAGCTGAACAATCTGTCTACCTTTTCTATATTCAGAATGGCCCTGCAGAAGTATCAAGCCACAAGCATATATAAACTCTCCCTCAGCTTTTCAGTGGGGAAGCTGAGATTGTTGTTCGTTTTTGGCTTGTTTGTTTGTGTTTGGACTCCAGGTAATCCCACATGCACCTGGTGAGTGACTAGGCTTGGGTCATTCCATGCATATTTCAGAAGGGTAGAACAAACAAGAGCCTGGTTAGCTGCTTTTCCCCCAGGACTTTCAAAGCAATTATTTATCAGTCGAGGACACAGTAGCCTCCAAAACAATTCTATACAATCATCCTTACACAGGCCCTCCATTCCTTCCATTCACTATCAAGGTTAGAGCCATCTGAGCCATCCATGGAACATGTCAGGGAAGCAGTTTCCTCCTCAGAACACGGGCTCTGTTCTCAAAGGATTGGAATTTGAATTCCGGCTCTGCCATCTACCAGTGTTGCTGTCCTAGCATTTCCTTAAATGTCTCTCAGTTTCCTCTCCTAGGCCTGGAGCTCACTGGTGCCATGTTCCACAGATGCCACAGCCGCTTAATGAGAGAGGACCATGAATGCATTCATCTCTTCCTCTTCATCATGTTGCCTGTTCAGTCTAGAGGAAAGATACTGAAGAGGAATTAGAACACTGGGCCCAAGATAAAGGAAAAGATCATAGTAATTGCATCTCACAAGTCCCCAGGATTTTCCAGAGGATTTGGAGATGATGAATCTCTAGTTCCTCCTTTGGATTTACGGCACCAGTGTGATGTAACTGTTTGTGTATTACTTCTTATCTTTTCAATTATTGGAGGGTTTTTATCTCCAACATACTTAGTTGTCTAATCCAGTTTTAATAATCTATCTACCTCCTAACAGTTAATCTATACCCTCTTATTAAAAGTAAGTTTATCATATGAACCACAACTCTTATCTGGGATTCAGTCTTGAAGCCAACAGGAAATTAGGAGATGTCACATAAATTATCACCAAGCAATAAAAGGAGACACTTGGCACTGAGCAAGAACTCAATTATCTTCCTACGAATTAAATAAATAGACACTGTCTCTTTGGCGATCTCATAATTCAAAGTTCAGAAAATACAAATTTTAACAGAAATAATCCCCCTTAATATATTTAACTCTATTTCCTGGAGCCTTTCATAATTTACCTTCCTCCTATGCAAATCCTGACACAATAATGTTCCAGTAGAAATGACTTTTATGCCTTTGCTTTTCTCTATCCTTCATGCCTTCATGTCTCCTGTTCTTCTATTTTTCCTAAGCACAAGGCTATATTCTCCCCATTGCAAAAGGTTTTTCTCCCCATTGCAAATGGATGAGGAGAGACAAGCAACTGATTGTATTACTGTCATTACTGTTGACTTTTTTATGAGAACAGTTGCGCTCAGGAAAACAAGATTGTGTACAAGATTGTATGCAGGGCATCTGGAATGTGACCTGACCACAAAGTCAGCATTGAAACCCATAGTCCATTGAGTACAAGATTTTTCTGGCCAAGCCCATTAAAAAAGAGATATATTTAATAGGAATAGGAGGAGCTATCTCATGCTGATTGGCTGACACTATTTGTAGCGTCATGGGTTAAGTTCCTGAGAAAACACTCTGTGAAAAGAGATAGCCCATAGGACTTGGATGAAGGGGATAATTTTGGTATCAACACTTGCAAAAATGTAGGAAAATAAAGAGCAAGACTAGGCAGATAGGGAAGCAGAAATGGGATGTGCTCTTAGGGAGAATCTCGATTTTTAAAAAAAATCCATGAGGATTTTAAAAGTTGGCTTGGTTGAGCCCTTCTCCACCCACTAATTTGGGGTAAAGTTCTAGTCTTCAGAGCTTCACATTGACCTGTCATTGGAAGTGAGTTTTCTCAGACTAGGGTATGTGAACAAGGCTGGTAAATTCCTTCACAGCAAGGTGGAGACGAAGGCCTCCATTACTGAAATCGAAGACGGCAGAGATTCAGAGCATACTCAAGATCCAATCTTTCTTACACAGGAAGTAGCACATTCTAGGAAGAGACAGGCTGTCACTCTGTGTATATTTTGCTGGGAACACCAATTTCCATTTTGCTACCCTGTTTTCCTAGTTCTCATAGTTACCCAACATAGGTTCTGCCTCTGGAAACATTTCCCCTATTCCAATTCTAGTTTTCCAGTTGAATCAAGTACAAATCTCCTAGAGCAACTTCATATATCTTACCTATGTACATTGCAAAAAGAGCAAACCTTTAAGAGACTCTGCTTGACATTGGATACATGATGGCTGGACAGCCAATTAATATTTATATTATATATGTATATGGGAACATGTGGGCTTTATTGGGAGTGAAGAGAATAGAATTTGTTTCTGTCTTTTTAAATTTTCTCTCCCCCTCCAATCCCGTGCGTGTGTGTGTGTGTGTGAGTGTGTGTGTGTGTGTGTGTGTGTGTGTGTGTGTGTGTGTGTGTGTATGTATACCAGTATTAGAGATTGAACTCAGGGCTCAGGGGCTCATGTTCTCACTTCATTTTTTTATGGTGAAGGCTGGTGCTTTACCACTTGAGCCAAAGCTACACTTCTGGCATTTTTGTGGTTAGTTGGAGATATGACCCTCAAAGACTTTCCTGTCTAGGCTGGCTTCAAGCCATAATCTTTAGATCTCAGCCTCCTGAGTAGCTAAGAGTACAATTGCAAACCACTGGTGCCTGTCTCTCTGTCTTTTCCCATTGTTGAAGGATTCAGTTGACAATGTCAGGGGACCCTTTCAGTTCTAAGATATTCTTCATTTCTTTCTCACTGTGTCAACTATCTTAATGTTTTCATTATAACCTTTGCTCTAGTATATTTTTTTTGCAAAGGCAGACAATGCCAAGGATGACAGAAGAATGAATAAGCAACAGGTGTGTCAGAATCGGAGCAAGTATGCCAAGTAGAACATAATAAATAATAAGATTGTAAACTTTGGGCTAAGTCCCTGGTAAAGACATCTCTGTACGTTACACTATACCAAATAGATGTGTGGTGAACTTAATTCAATAATAATCATTGTACAGTGAATTTATTTGGAGGATTTAGAATCCTGAAGGAATAAGGTAAAAACATTATTCAATCTGGGTGCTGATGGTTCATGACTGTAATTCTAAGTACTCAGGAGGCTGAATATTAGAATCTCAGTTCAAAGCCAGGCCAGGCAGAAAAGTCCTTCATGCTCTGATCTCCAATTAACCAGTAAAAATCTGGAAGTGATGTGGTTCAAGCAGTAGAGCATCATCCTTGAGCAAAAAAAAAAAATCCAAGTGTGAGTGTGAAGCCCTAAGTTCAGGCTTGATCCCTCCCCCAAAGCTAGACATGGTCACATATAAATAGTTCTATTATCAGACTTTCTAGATTAAAACAAGAGAAGATCTATAGATAATTTGCTTATTTTCTAATTCCCAAGGTTTGGGATAGTGAACTAGAAATATGGGAATGAGCATAGAGGTATTAGTTTTAAAAATCGACATATTTTTTGAGCAATGTAGATTAAATGCTTGGTTTAAATAAGACTGAAAGGAAGTTATACTCGGAAATCATGATAGACAAAGGAATTTCATTCAAGGTCTCTGATGAGAAATATGTTTCCTGTGGACATGGCTTCAGTTTTCATTATTATTGTTACATACATTGTACATGTATGTACGTATATTTATTTATTTGTAAGACAGAGTCTCAATATGGAAACCACGCTGGCCTCTCACTCTTGGTCCTCTGGGCCTCAGCCTCCAAAGGGGCTGTGATGAGAGGCATGAACTACCACACTTGGCTCATTTATCTCTTCTGAGTAGAAATATGTCCTACATGGACAGGCAGATGGGCGGGACCCTAGTGGGTGCTCCTCCTTCTGTGGCGTCCTATGGGCTATGCAGGGTGAATCTGCTGTTGAACATTGTTGCCATTCAGCAAACTGACCCCTTGCTGAGCTCCAGAGCAGATGTTCTCAGAGCCCAGTTGTTTCCCAGAGATTGAGAGCTCCAAAGACAGAAATCCTCTAGTTACCCAGCTGTTCTGATACGTGATTACCATAATCAGCCTTTCCCTTAAATGTGATACAACTGCAAATTATACTCTAAAAATAAGTGATTAACTGCTTCTTCGCAGTAATTTGCTTATTGTTAAATACACCATCCCTTTCTCAGATGTAGTTCTAACAAGGAGACCCTTCCAACACCCTGGTGGGCGTTAATAGTCTCCCTGGACTCCGTTAAATGCTTTTAAAAGTGTATCTATCCAGTTTGTGTGGAAAGTCCTCAAGTGGAAAACTCTATTCAGAGCAATAGCAAGAGCCAATGTGGACTGCTTGTTTATATAGGTTTTACACCAAATATTATCCTATGAGAGTATTATCCCATTTGCTTCTTAACATAATCCCATAAGGTAGATAATGATTTTGTTCAATTTTACCAAAAAAGAAACTGAAACAAAAAGATTTGATTTTAAAAATGTGCTTAGTAACACATAACTGAAAGCCTGAAAATCTGAATCTAGACACTGGACTATGGCTGATTGAATGCAAATGCCTGATTGAACCAGCTGACCTCCCTGAGAAAACAAAGTCTTAAGAATTCTATCAGAAAGAATTTCTAATCCCTTCTGAGAGGCTCCCCCACTTAGCAAGGCTCAATGAGGCACTGGGATCGTAGTGTAGACCATGAGACTTAAACTAGAACTCCTCAGATTCAAAGCTCTCTATTTTCTATTTCTCACTGTTTCTTTAAGAAGTTGTGTGTGTGTGTGTGTGTGTGTGTGTGTGTGTGTGTGTGTGTGTGTGTCCTGGGACTTGAACTCAGGACCTAAGCACTGTTCCTGAGCTTGTTTGCTCGAAGCTAGCTCTGTACCACTTGAACTACAGCTCCACTTCTAGCATTTTGATTTTTTTTGTTGTTGTTTTTTTTGTTTTTCCGGTGTTTAATTGGAGGCAAAAGTCTCATGGAGTTTTCTTAGTAACTAGGGTTACAGGAGTGAGCCACCAACATCGGGCAACAAGTTAATATTTTAAAATAAGTTTCAGTGTCACCTGGTATTTTTTGAATCTAATTGTTCCCCAAAGGCCTGTATGTTGAAGTCATACACAGTCTCCAGTTTGATACATAGGGGAGGCAGTGGAATTTTAGGAAGGGCACATCCTTCATGGAGATGGTAAGATCCTGCCTCTTCCTCTTTTCCTTTTATTTTTTTTTCCCTCTTTTCCTTTTTATGTTGAGTCATGAGGTGAATGGACCTCTCACCCATGATGTGGAACCAAAAGCCACTGGGCCAGTCAATCATGGATGGAAACCTCCAAAATCATGACCCAAAATAGCAAACAATTCTTCATGTTATCATTTCAGGTACTTAATTAAAGGAACAGAAAACTAACAGCTGAAAAACAGGTAGCAATAATGCACAACATACAATATACATTAGCAGAGGATATTTCTGAATTGGACAGTATTGACTGTCATCACCAAGAACTGCCTAGGTGTGTCACCTTAGATCCTGTGATGTGTTAGATAAGGCCCTGGAATAGGAAAACAAAAATCTGTTTTATACTGCATTTATACTTATAAATATAAATATGTGTATATTTATATTTATACTGCATTTATATTATTTTATTAATGGTGATGTTTATCACAGTCATTAACAAAAGGGGAAACTAGGCCTAAGGCATTTTGGAATGCTCTTTTTTACATTTATTATGAAAATCTAAACCTCTACTAAAATGTATTGGTAGAATAATTGTTACTAATTCTGTATTCATTCCATGGTACTATGATTAATGCTTCAGGTATAATTGTAGAGCTCTTTAAAAGCTGATGTGTATTATAAACTGTGTCTTGGGAATTGATCCATTTTCAGAAGGACAAATAATTGGAATATATAGTTCCAATAAAACACAATTACAAGTTTGCCTGAATTTCATACAAGTGGTAGGAAGCAAATCTCTGTCAATGTTTTAAGGCTGGTGAACCCACACAGCTCATTTTTCAAATCAAATATTTCAATTTGTTTTTTTTTTTCAAGTGTAGATTATATCATTTCCACAAGTAACTTCATGAGAGTTTATTTAGGTAAGATATAAAGGCTCAAAAATATTTCCATGTGCATGTATATGTATATGCATTTGGGTATATTAACAGGGTTCAAATGCAGGGCTTCCTGATTGCTCAGATGGTACGCTATTGCTTGAGCCAAGCCTCCAAACAGGCTTTGCGCTGGTTAATTGGAGATGGAGTTGCATAGACTTTTATGCTGAATCTGGCTTTAAATGAAGAGCCTTTATATCCTGACCTCTTGAATAGCTTAGATAATAGGTATCATAGGCCACTGGCTCCCAGCTATACATACATTAATTCTACTTCATTAATCACAAATAAGTGTCTTCATCAGCAGAAGGCCCGGTTTTCCAGCACGTAAAGTTATGCATATTCCAATAGTCAATTGGTGAACCTGTGTACTTATCCTAGTATTTTTAATATTTGGCCAAAAGTTTTGTAAACATTGGTAAAAAAAGAATAAGAAAAGAAATGCATAGGGCGTTTTGTTTTTGTTTTTGTTTTTCAGAAAAAGCTGTGCTTAGGTTCCTGGCAGTGGATAACCCTGTTGAGAACAAGTAGCTTTTGAGTGACAGAGATAGAGTCTTTCGTGCATACAGGTAATAAACAGGTGCAAATGATTATTGCACCAATGATGGCCTTTTTCCTCCAGCCCACCCACACATGAAAGCATTCCCATGCCAGCACACATGCACGGCAGTCTACCATCATTCTAAGTCATTTTCAGATGCATGCTGGTCCCATTTGTATGAAATCCTTCTGCTTAGAGCAGAGGCTGAGAACATAAAGACAAAATGCTTTCTTTCAGAAAGTAACCTTTTAACACTTCAGAAAAATGGTCTTACTTGTTTTTGAAGTAGAATGCGGCACAGAATATGCCCACGATGACGAGTCCAAAGATGATACATGACATCGACAGCACCTGCCTTTGATACACTCCTTCACTCTCTGTGGATTTGAAAAACAGAATTAGAATGGATGCTAGCAGGGCTGAGATGCAGAATCTCTATCTTTATATTTCTGAGCAGGTAGAAGTTTTTCAAAGCTAGCTTTTTTGTCTGCTCCTGTCATGAATAGGGGTGGGGGAAGAACATGAGCAAGTTATTATAATTCAATTTCTTTGCAGACTTCTGTGGAATAACAAGCTGCCTTTTTCCCCCTCTTCAATCTACATGGCTACAGCAAAGCCCATATATACACGTGCATCACCATTATAAATCTTATTATCAAATGCCATTCTTTGACGTTAGGACATGTTAGAGATAGAGGTTTTGGAAATTGTGGTAGGGCCTAAGTTAATGAGTTAGAGAAAGAAATTTCTGCACTGTTTTGTGCTGACCATTGCTTTTAGTTTAGCTTTCTTTTTTTGGTTGGTGATGTTTCTGTGTATTCTGATTTTGGCCCTTGGCTATCTGTCTCCCATTCAACTTCCTGAAGCTATGATTAACACTCATGAAAGAGAATTTCAGTATGCACGTGAATGTTTTACTAACCCACGCTGTAGCATACCCCAGTAGCCATGTTCTGACATAGACATCTAAGCATCTATTACCAAGATTGGATGTTGTAGCTTATATGACAAATATTCCACTTTCAGTCACTGCAATTTACACTCCCAGTCTTGTCTCTAAAACATATCTACTAAAATGGTTCTTCCCATCCCACCAGCACATCGTGTCCAGCAGCATAGAGACCATGATACATACTTTAGTCATACTTGCTAATACCCTCACGTGCATCTCTGTTATTTTCCCTTTTATGTATTTAGTAAAATATCCACATATGAATCCAACCCTACCTTGAGCAGTTCAGAACTGAAGGAGAAGATTGGGAAGAAGGACATCAAGATTATAGAGATGTGTTTATCACTGAGATTCTCACCCATCAGCCCACTTCCAATTTTTAATGGTTATTTGTCCTGTCCACCCACTATTAAAATATCTAACATACACTCCCTCCTTCTCCTCTCAGGTCTTCATATATGGGATGTGGGGAAGCAGCAAGTATGGAAGAAAACTGAATCATTACTGGTGGGATTCTTTTGTTTTTATATTTTATTTTATTTTTAAATAAGTTTTTGTTGTGAAAATACTGCACAGAAGGGTTACAGTTACATGAGCAAGGTAATGAGTACATTGCCTCCTCCTTTGTTTTCCCCTACCATCCCTTCCCTCCCACCTACTCAACTATACTCCCTGCTCACTGCCCCCCATCTCAATTGTAAAGTTCGTTTTTTCAACATAGCGTCTTGTACATCTCATTGTTGTAATGGGTCAACCTGTATCCCTATTTAAACACTTTTATTTTTCCCTTCCCCTCCCCAAATTATACTAACCTCAAATACAGTGAAAACAGGGGTTATACTGTGGAGGAGGGATATACAAATGAACAAAAAAAATCACATGGTACCTTATAAATATACTAGAAACAATAGCAAGAAAGAAAAAAAAACCATTTGTGTCCCTATCATGGGGTCTATCTCACTTAACATAATCTTATCTGAACTTTTCTGCTTGTCCCGAACATATACTAGTTACTGCAAATAAAAGAAACCATGGGACCTATGTTTCTTTGGGCTTGGCTTACTTCATTTAATATAATTTTTCCCAAGTCTTTCCATTTCCTAACAATGGGGCAATGTCATTCTTTCTGATGGAGGCATAGAATTCCAATGTATCTATATATACCATATTTTCTTGATCCATTCATCTACTGAGGGGCATCTGGGCTGGTTCCATATCTTAGCTATGGTAAATAATGCCGCAATAAACATAAATGATCCTTAACAGAAAGAACAGTACTGGAGGACTATCAATACCAAATTTCAAACTCTACTACAAAGCCATAGTAACCAAAACAGCTTGGTACTGGCACAAGAAGAGACCTCAGGACCAATGGAATAGAATTAAAAACCCAGAAATGAACCCACAGACCTATAGTCACCCAATGTTGATAAGGGAACTAAAAAAATAGAATGGAAGAAAGCCAGCCTCTTCAGTAAATGGTGCTGGAAAAACTGGTTAATCACATATAGAAAACTAAAACTAGATCCTTATATATCACCCTGCCCCAGAATCAACTCCAAATGGATCAAAGACCTTGGATTCTAAGTAGATAGCCTGAAAATATTACAGGAAGGAATAGGAGAAACCCTAGGTCTCCTTGGCACGGGCCAAAATTTTCTTAATAGAGACCAAGAAACACAACACATCAAAGAAAGGTTGGACAAATGGGATTGCATGAAGCTGCAGAGCTTCTGCATGGCAAAGGACATAGTTAGCAAGATCAATAGAAAGCCCATGGATTTGGAGAAGATCTTCACTAGCCATACAACAGATATGGGTCTCATATCTAAAATATACTTCAAACTAAAAAAATTAAATCCCCCAACAACAAATCCTCAAAGAAACAACTATCCCATAAATAACTGGGCTGAAGACATAAAGAGAAACTTCTCTGATGAGGAAATAAGAATGTCCAATAGACACATGAAGAAATGCTCAATCACTCTAGCCATAAAAGAAATGCAAATCAAAACAATATTGGGATTCCACCTCTCTCTAGAAAGAATGGCTATAATTAAGAACTCTAATAACAACAGATGCTGGAGGGGATGTGGAGAGAAGGGAATCCTACTGCATTGTTGGTGGGAGTGTAAACTTGTTCAACCACTTTGGAAAGTAGTATGGAGGTTTCTCAGAAGACTCCCCATAGAGCTCCTCTAAGACCCAGCAATCCCACTTTTGGGCATTTACCCAAATGATCACAAACAAGACCATAGCAAAGCTACCAGCACAACTATGTTTATTGGGATTCTTAGCAGTACTTAAATGCATGGACAATATTGTGTTTCTGGATTAGAAAACTCAATGCTAAGATATCAGCTCTCCCCAAAATGATAGAGTAAGTACAATCCTATTGAAAATATCAGGAGATGTGTATTTTACAGAAACATACAAGTTGACTGAAAATGTTATATGGACATGTAAAAGACCTGTTTCAGTCTAAACAAGTTTTCTGAAGTCAAGAGAGCAAATTGCAGGACTTGGTCCCACGAGTTTTTTTTAAGCCTATAGCAATGGAAGTGACATGATATTTATCTAATTCAAGACAAAGAAATAAATGGAATAGATATGAGTCCAGTCCAAATATGTAAACATATTTGACTTTTGAAAAGAGATGAAAATGAATCTGAACAATGAAGATACTTTTACAAATATTACTATGTAAGACTAGTAGAGCCATAGCCATGGAAGTAAACATTAACCAGAATATCATACCTTACACAAATATAAACTCAAAAACAGAATAGATTTATACTAACACAAAAGATACAAAGTACAAATATTTAACAAATCAATAACATGGTCTTAAACTCTTCAATAACTCATAATGAAAATGAAAAGGGAAAATAATTGAAAACATTCAACAATGGACTTGTACCTACACTATACAAGAACTTAAGACTTACTATTGGAATAAGCAACTTGCTTTAACAATGGGGAAAATCTGAATAGACACTTCCCCAAAATATATAGCAGGTAAATACTTACCTAAAATATTCAACATAGCATTATGCAATTTCAAGTTAAACTTACAATTAGTTAGAAAATCAACTAGACTAGACTAGAATAGAACAGAACAGGACAGAATGACTTCTGTATCAAGTGTTGGCAAAGAATTGAAGCAGAGAGAGTTCTAGAGCACTCTTGTATTCATACTGGAAATGTAAAATGACATTCCACTTAATAACTAGCTTCACAGAAAGCTACAGATACACTTCAGCCTCATATTCCAAACATTCCATTCCTAAGCCTTTCATCAACAGTAAAGAAAGCATGATTTTAGTTGTGAGCTAATGAACACAAATGACCACAAAGACTTCAAGTTTAAAAGCCACAAAATGGAAATAATCCAGATGATCAACATCATAGCAGGTAAAAAGATAACTAAATATAGTATATCAATACAGTGGAATATGGTTCAGCAATTAGAGAAAACAAACTATTGATATAAGCAAACATGTGGAAGAGTCTCAGAATAATTATTCTGAGTGAAAGAAGTCAGAAAAATGTACAGGCTGCATAAACCAATATATATATATATATGTATGTATGTATATAGGTATATATATATATATGTATATAGATTTGTATAATGTATCTGGGTGTCTGTAGTTCACACCTATAATCTTAGCTATTCAAGTCGCTGAGATCTAGAGGAATGAATGCAGCCCTGCCGAAAAGTTTACAAGAGCCTATCTCCAAAATAACCAGCAAAAAGCAGGGCTGAAAGTGTGGCTCAAGTAGTAGAGCATCAGCTTTGAGCAAGCAAAAGGCCTTGGGCTCAAACTCCCATACAAGCAAAATGATAGTAATAATCATAGTAATGATAATGATTATAACAATAAAATTGAAATACTAACAGAAGCTATGAACACAAGTTTCTTGGGGGTGGAATGAAGGAAAGAGATGCAGCACAGGGATAAGATGAAGTTTTAGGATCCAGTGCTTTATTATTTCTAGTACTGTCATCCTTTCATGGGTGTAAGGTTATGTCAAGTTATGTCAAATTCATAGTTTTAAAGCTTTAACAATGAAGGAGAAATAGAAAAAGATAGAAATACACTTTCTGTTCCCCATGCAGAAAACATATAATTTAGGGACCCCCTAATTATGCATTTGAAATAAATGATTTATTTTATGTCAACTATAGTTACAAAAAATATGTATCCTGGAGGACAAATAAATATAGGGAATAATAAAATATATAGATTGTAGAGCATAAAATGGTACACAGCTGTTAACTTTTAACCTTCCATGATTACATTCCATAAACCATTTCGACACCAGAGGCAATATGAACTATTTTTTAAATTGGTTTTAATTTTGGAAGGGAGAGGGGAAGTTGTTGGTTTTCAGAGCCTCATAGTTGCTTGGCTTGTGTGC